AAAAAAAAAAAAAAAAAAAAAAAAAAAAAAAAAAAAAAAAAAAAACGCCCAGAATCCGGCAAAAAATCAGTAGTAGTTTTTCAGTACCACTTTATGCGATGGAAGGTCTGCTCCGTCCAAGATGGACTTCCTGTTTCAAGGGGATGGTCTATTCTGAATAGATACTTCCGCTAGGCTGGAGTCCAGAGGGGCTGCCACCAAGGCGGAGGCGATCTACCCGCATGGCCAGGTTAAGGATGGGACGTGAGTATCGCAAGGGGCTTAATGCAAGGCCAGTTCTTAAGCAATTGTTAAGACAGAGCAGGCTGAGCCAGATAGAAAGATAGCCGATGAGAGGGCAATGAGAGGTAAGAGATAGTAAGAGTACCTCCAACTCTCGTACTATAGCTATCAATTCCTATCATACGTGTCAGACTCTATTCTAACATGTCCTGTATAGTGGCATCAGCTGCGAGTGTGCAGAGGATGATATGTCTGTTTGTTCCTTTTCAATCCTCCTCCCCTTGGTCAAAATCATGGGCACCATACATTACTCTTCTAGACAAATATCCTGGCACCACGACTACTGCTGAGATGGCTCTTTATCTTCAAAAAAAAAAAAAAAAAAAAAAAAAGAGACAGACAGAAAAAAAAAGACTTTCTCTCTGTCTCCACTCTAGCAAAGACTGTGATGGTCATTGCATCCTTCGGGAAAATCCTCCGAAAGCTGTACTTCAAGCTTTCCTAAGGATTACAAGAAAATTAATTAATGCCTCCTCCCCCCCCTCCCCCTTTCCCCCCTCAAGAGAAAAAAGCAACTCATGCCCATGTTCTTTACGCCCCCTTCTGTATTGCTACCGCAACCCCCATACTTGCTTCCACTTGCTCTCTTACCCCCCCGCGAACCTTCCAAAAGCTTGGCAGTCCTTCTGGAGAGCACAATCGAACGCTGCTAGAGCCTAAAAAAACAAATTACTTACTTCAACGGCCCCGATCCGCCATTACCAGCTCAACGGACAATGTGAACAGGGCGTGAGAAACGTGTCGGCCTCTCAATTCAGTATCACTCCACCAACCCCTCTCAAATTTCCTTCCCACAGTGACTGTTCCCATCACCCCGTTCCCCGAACCATATCAACTAGGTTCAACCCCAGCTTGTCTGAGGGAAAAACGGTCCCAAAACCACACTGCCGATACTCGTCAAGGGATGCTCTCTCTCTCTCTCTCTCTCTCTCTCTTTCTCTCTCTCTCTCTCTCTCTCTCTCTCTCTCTCTCT